TAGATGTTTAGAGACTACTTTTGTATGAACAAAATGCTGGTTATTTTTCATAATCAGGGATTAAGAAGTTATGTCTATTGTCACTCAAAAATAAACCAAGAAATGTGTTACCCCAGTCTGTCATGCCATGATCTGATGTCATCAAAAAGGTAGTTTTCCCATCATCATTATAATAATCTCTGATCACCTTTTCAATTTCTTGTATTCCCTCATCAACATGTTTCAATGTTGTCAAGAAGTTCCTGTAATGATATATGTTTATCAATTGTTACACACTCATATTAAATTAATAAGCAACAACCACAAGGTGACTTATTCGCAAGCAAAACAATCTTGGTATATTTTTTTTAAACCTATTTCTAATATCAACTTACGGAGTTTTAGGTTTATGGGTGTGTCCTGCAGTATCAGTGCCCAACAAATGCAGGAAAAATACTATTTTGTTACTTTTCAATTTTTCTTTCAGTATGACATCATCATTTGCCTTTTGGAAAAACAATTTTACATTGTCGAAAACCCAAGCATCCAGAAGTGTAGTATTTTTATCAGTGCTAAAACTCTGGTCATAAGGATCAAATTCATGTACCACAATATGATCATCAATATTGGATTTGGTGAAAATATTTACTATGTCATAAGTACCCCAACACCATGTGTATGAAGTTTGATTGAAAACTGAATCGAAATCTACAGGATTTTCCTTCCATCCCTTGGCTACAGCAGATGGGTCTTCATAGAAACCTGCAATTACTGCCACATGTCCCGGGCGTGACTCTGTTGGCACTTGAGTGTTTGAGATTCCCCATCTACCATAAGTACTTGCAACAGACCTGAAAATATGATAGATGTATACTATCACCTACCAATTATATTTAGTTACCAATTTTTTACTTGTGTGCAATACTTGAAGATTCATTACCTACCTCAAATAAGGCATTGTAGTGTAGTTAACAAATGATTCAGCTCTTAGTCCATCAACCATGAATAGAACTAGTCTTTCAGATAAGTCTGCATGTTGGGGCTGATAAGGAGTCACATTTTTAACAATTGGTGATTTAAAATATATGTCAAAGATAGAAAACAAGAAAGTAATGTGTAAAAAAATTCCTAGAACAAACATCGTTACTTTATTCAACTAATTCGGGCTAAACTACGTAAAATACATTAAGTTTCATAAACTTTTTGAAATTAGCCAATAAAAACGTAAACATTGCATTGTATATTGACAATGACAACTTGACTCTATGCTTGACAGTTGACAACAAGAGCTTGAACTTCTCAACGTCATTACAACAAGGATGTACATGGACGATGATGTTATTTTAGTTAACTTAAAATATTAACATTTAGGCGAATATATTTAATGGTCCAGAAGTAAACATTGCATCAGTTTACGTTTTCATTCTTCGTAATGGAACCTTAATCAGACGTGTCCACTGGACTAGAAACGTAAATTCCCGGGAATAACTTTTATGGAGTTTCAGTTAACTTCTAGAAGAGGTTCTGTTTGTATTTTTTCAATATGTTTACTGTTTTTAATTCAACCCTAATTTTAATTCAACAATTTAAATAAC